GCTTGAAGCTGTGTGTATGATTTTCATGAATCAAGTTAACATGGTTAAACATCAGGTACATCACTTGCACCCATTGTTTCAGCAGTCGGTAGCAGGGGAAATGGAGATGGAACACAGGGAGAATACAGCAATAATACTGGCTCAGGTTCTATGCGGGTTCTCCCTGTGAGAAATGTGATTGCAGCAGCTGTCCCATCGCGTCCTCCTGTAGTGACTGTTCCAAGTGCCGCACAGCCTGGTTTAGGTGTTTCTGCTTCACAGCCATCTCCTGTTGTTTCTGCTTCACAGCCATCTCCTGTTGTTTCTGCTTCACAGCCATCACCTGTTGTTTCTGCTTCACAGCCATCTCGCTCTGCTTACCAATCGTCTCTTGCTGCTGAGATTAATTCACGAATCAGGGATCACATTCGTAACATGCAAGGAGAAAGCCAGGTTGGATCAGGTAAGTTGCCACTAAAGTCTCAACAAGGATGATGTTTTTGTGAAACAATAGTTCAGGGGGCTGCTCTTTTTTGTATTCAGGTCAAAGAGAGTCAACTGTGGAGGGTTCAACTGTCAGAACTGATGCAGGTCGTGTCTTTAGCAACGAACATCTTAATGATGTAGATACTGGAGCTGAGGAATATCATAATTCCTTGCCTAGATTCCCACAAGGAAGTGATGGCTTGAAGGTATTAATTTTTCTTCTATATGGTGGGATCCTATGTTAATATCTCAGTGATTGTATCTGTACTCTCAATAAATGTTAAAAACCTTTGTTAAGGACCAACCACAACCCAAATGCGAAGGCAACATAAGTAGTAAAGAGGAAGGGAGTGATTCAAGCTCCAAAGCTGCATCAACTTGCTCTGTTGGTGAATCTTCAAGTTGTTCAATTGGCGAGTCCCCGGCTGTTCCCCTTGGATTGGGACTGGGGAGTTTGGAGCGTAAGGTAAGGGTTTTTTTTTTTTTGAATAAAAAGTGTGAAATTCTATTAAGTTGTCTTTCTATTATTTAATTCTTTGCATTAATGTCCTTGTTTGTTATTCTGTATTCGTATTTTATGGTGATTTCCATGAAGTAATGTATAGTGGGGGATTTACTGTTATGTTGCTGCTGAACAGCAGCTTCTGTAAAACATAGTAGTGAATATACAGATACATGGATTAGTAAGATTGCCAGTAAATATAAATATTCTGGTCAAATTATTCTTTTTTTTTTTTTTTTGAAGTAATGGAGGGTGGAGACTGAACTGCTGTTCGTGTTAAGCTGAAAGATGTGTCCACCATGTAAGGTGGTCCAATTATTTCTTTTTTGTCTTCAAGGAGCAAGACCAGTTAACTTTTTTAGCTTAACATGGTAATGGAACCATAAAAGATCACTAAGTCTAATGAATTAAGGCTTAGTCTCAAACTAGTTCGAGTTGGAAATGTGAATAAAGGAAGATTGATTTTCTGGTATTTGGACATAGGAGTAAATCAGACAGGAAAGGGAAATTAGAAAATGGTTGGCATCCTGTTTCCATTGTACTCATTGGGGCTGCCAGTTGCTGTTATTTTTTGGCCTTTTTCCTTATGAAGGAGCATTCCAAGAGGCTTGCATTCCTTGGGTAGTGAATCTTTGAATTCTCTTAGCCAAATTGTTATCTTAACTTGATATGTGACTCCTGGATGTAAGTATATTGTTGCCTTTCAAGTGGATTCTGTTATGTTCTTCTAGTTCTGATTCCTTTTGTTAGATATTCTTATAAAAAGGTGCCAAAACTCATGTTTGTTGCATGTTTAGGATTTTGGCACTACAGGTTTATGTGGTTTGTTGAATGAAATAATCATGGAATGAAAAATTAACTCCTAAGAATGAAATAAGACCAAAGAGTCGTAATTGCTTGGTTATTCGGTTTGCATGGCGGGATAGTTATTCCATTATTATTATGGGTTTTGTTGAATTGGTCTGTGAATGGTTAATTTGGCTGGAATATTATAAGGGTATTTAGCTTATTAGACTACTAAGATTAGATTTATTACTATTACTTCTTATTCGATTATATATCTACTTTATTGTTATTTTTTTGTTTAAGGGTTTTAACATGTTACCTTCGTATACATCCTATAAATGCATGGGTGGTTTGCTATCATAGCTAGGCTGCTTAATAATATTAGTTATGATTTTCTCTCATTGAATTAAGTGATCAATGATGCAATGATTGTGGTTGTTGCCAATTCCTGTGGTCGTTAACTGGATTTCTCTTTTATTTTCTTTGATCTTTTTAATCTCTGTAAACTCTATACTGCTGTGCTACGTCATAAAGAACTTTAAGAGGCACCAGGGATGCAGACTATGGACATTTATAAAATCTCAAGAGCCCAAAAAAAAAAAAATCAATCAGATTCCCCCGGTCCAAATCAATATCAAGGATCAGACTTTTTTATCAACAAAATAATTGAGTGGCATCCCACTTGTGCTTTGGATGATTGTTTATATTCAAGATGGAAACAGAGTGGTCAGTATGAACCCGCATAACTTAATTTTGGAAAAAGGAGAGCAAATGCTATCCGAAAGAAATATTTTCGTTCGACTTTCCAAATACTTAAAAAGACGAACTTATAAAGATATACATGGCAAAACTTCCACTTAGATTAAGCCCACCAAGCCCAAATCTATTTTTTTTTTAAATAAAAACATATAAGAATATTAACATGGTACCAAAACAGGGGTACCAACCCATTTACAAAAGAATTACAGCTTAGTAAGCATATCAATGACAATGCAGAATCCCAAATCAAATTTTGAAATCACCCAAATAATTTTGAGGAGTCTTGACATTGAAATTGCAATGAAGAATCCCAACAACCTTCTAGCCCTTGAACACCAAGAAGGAACTTACGCCACATGGCATTATCATCTGAGATAAATCTCCATTCCCATTTAGCGAGCAATATGTTATTAGATTCCTCAGTAGCTTTTATACCCAATCGTTCACTTTTAAAGTCTGCATCATGACCTTGTCCCACCCAATCAAATGATATTTCTTTATGTCTTACTTATCGACCCAAAGGAAGCTCTGTTGCAGAGATTCAATTCTTTTGGCAACACTAGCAGGGATTAGGGAAAAGAGACAGAGAGTTCATATGGAGGATTTAGAGAGCACATTTAATGAGAGTCGATCTTCCTCCTTCGGACAATGTATTCTTATTCTACTTGGATAATAGTTGAATGCAGGTAATCTCCATCCAGGCAAAAAGGTCATTGACCTCTGAATTGTTTAAATTTTTAAGGAGATGAAAACGTCAATGGATTCCACGGTTGTAGATATCAACTATTCACAAGTCTTAAACTTGGCAATCGATAAAATAGAGAGAAGGACCTCTTTTGAAGGTCTACCAAACCAAATATTATTCCAAAAACTAATCCACCTTTTGTTGGCCACCTTGAAATGAATATGGTTACAAGTTCATCCAGTTCCTCTCTATCCACCTCCAAGAACTAGAGCCATAAGCACCTCCAAGAATTAGAGCCATACACAAGCAAATCTTGGCCTAATGCATTTACAGTATAAGGAATCTTTGCAAAAGAAGAACCTCCATTTCATTGCGAGCGAGAGATTGAAGCGCCGCAGACCCCATGCTTGATTGGACACTTGCGATTTGCATGTT